CCTAGCTCCCAAGGAGTCGCTGGGTGGGTCTGAACCATCAACCTTTGGTTTCTTCACCCACAGACTCTTTACAAAGGGGAGCAGCCTGCCGTTGGCAGGAGGGTGAGCAAGGTGTGCCATTTCCTCCCTGGGTGGCTGCCTGTGACCATGGGCAGGCCAGCAGGGACAGTTGATGCTGCTGCCAATCACTCACTAGGCTGCAGCAGAATGTCACAGATGCCAGCCTGCGGCTCCGTGTGGCTTCAGGGTGGCAGTCTTACTGGGGACCACCCATTGGGAGCTGGGAAGGCTGCCTCCTGGCTGCTGTGAGCCAAGCAAGCGGCGCCCGTGGGTGCCCAGGGAGTCAGGGGAGGCCTTTGCTGGGCACCTTGGGAGGGCTGTGGGGTTCCCTGGGACGCTATGCCCATAAGAGGCCAACTAAGTAGCGTGAAGTCGCCAACAAGCCCCTGCTCGTGGGCAGTGATTACACGAGCCTGGAAGAATGACTCCAGCAGAAGGCTGTGGCTGGGGGGTCAACTGCGGCCCAACAGGCAGATCGGGAGGCGGCCAGGTGCATGCTGCCCGCGGTGCTGCCCTGCCCAGATCGGGAGGCGGCCGGGTGCATGCTGCCCGCGGTGCTGCCCTGCCCAGTCGGGAGGCGGCTGGGCGCATGCTGCCCACAGTACTGCCCCTCCCCAGGGGGGTCGTGCTGGTGGGGGGGCAGTGTGCACCTCATGCTCTCCACGTTTGGGTTGTCCTCCCCTCGAAAGAACTGGTTGCCACGATCTGTGCGCACCACGTCCTTGTCCACAGTGAACTGCACACGGCGCCAGAACTCCTGGTGCTCTTCCGGTGTCATGGAGAGCCTGTGAGGGAGCAGAGGGCTGGGCTGGATGCTGGCACACGGGCACATGGTGTCAGCAGGCACACAGTGCCACTGAAAAGGCACACAGGGACACTGAATAGACACACGGTGCCAGCAGGCACACGGGGACACTGAAAAGGCACACAGGGACACTGAATAGACACACGGTGCCAGCAGGCACACGGGGACACTGAGCAGGCTCGTGGCATCAGTAGGCACACTCTCTCTAGGGATGGATATTCCTCTGTGCCCCACTCCAGATCCTGGATGGGAACAGGGTATTGCTGCTGGTGTCACCCTGGTGTCCCCTGACTTGAGTGCGTGCTGTGTACCTCGGGCTGGCCCCAACCTTCCTTGGCCCGAGGCGTCCCAGCTTCTTGAGAGGAGAGCTGACTGCAGCCCGTGGGTGGGGAGGCTCTGCGAGGACCCGGGGCCAGTCCTGTGGCCCTGCTCCCACTGCAGTGCTCCCGGGGCCGAGACTCCTAACCCTGACGTGGGAGCCACAGACCCACTGTCTGGGGCCCGAGTGCCAGGAAGGACCGCTCACTGGCTCGTCACTCCTGGTCCTGGCCGCCCCATTTCCACGGCCCATGACACATATGCATGCTGAACTGCACCTCAAATTAACTCTTCAAATGCTATTCCCACTGCGCTCAGAGGGGCGGTGACATCCCCACTGCCCTCAGAGGAGTGGTGACATCCCCATGTCCCTAGGAGGAGTGGTGACATCCCCACCGCGCTGGAGGGACGGTGCTGTCCCGCTGAGCGGGAGGGCAGGCGGCCGTGCGTTACCGTCTCTGCTGGATGTCCAGGTACTCTTTCCGCTTCTGTGTGCGCAGCGCCTCCCGTGCCTCCGACGTGGACTCGGGGCTGTAATAGTGCAGCAGGAAGGGCCAGACCTCCCCCCGGATTGACACATCAATGCCGCCAAAGAAAATGGCCTGCAGGAAGCAGCAGAAGCTGGGGAGGGGGGAACCGGGCGCTCAAAGACCCCCCAGTCCCCAGAGCTCCATGTCGGGGTGGCTTTGGTGGCTCTGCTGACAACTGAGGCCTTGATTCAGGTCCCGGCAATTTGCACTTGTTTGGAAGGGGAAAGGGCCAGCCCTCCATTCCCATCCCGCCACAAACCTGACTCATTTCAATGTCAATACGCCCCCCTGGGGTGGCGTTCAGATTAACGGGTGGTTCTCACGTTGTGGCCTAATCCCTGGCCCTGGAGAGACTGCATTTCATCGCAGGCCCTTCCGTATGTTGACACACCGGTCCCCCCGACCCTCTCAGCATTTTGTTGTAACCCAGCAGCTTTGATTGCTGATGGGGGTGTTCACACAGTACCTCCCACAAGGGCACAGGGCCCTCCCGGAGCTGGCCGTGGGCCGGGTGGCAGCTGCCCCCCTCTAGCCTTCACATGCCCATCTCCCAGGTGCGCACCGGGAGGCCCTACCTTTCGAAGCTTGTACTCCTCCTCCACCTGGCCCAGCTCGTTCAAGTGGCCAAGCCAGGCGGTGACGTCCAGACGCTTGTACAAGCTCTCCTCGGGGTGGGTCTCGGACGAGGGGAGCCTGGGACGCCGGATGGGGAACAGCATGCAGGTCTTCTCGTCAGCGACCTGCCGGGCAGAAGGACCACTGGGGCAAGCCCGGTGTCTCAAACACGCGGCTGTCCACACCAGCACCCTTTCCCAGGGCTGAACAGCGTGATCTGAAAGGAGGGAGGAGCCTCACTGCCCACAGCCGCCTGCCTCGCTGGTGAGGGTAAACCAAAACCCAAACTCACCGCCTCGAGTTGGATCCGACTCATAGCAACCCCTCCCTGGGTTTCCCAGGTGGAAGGTTGGGCAATCTACTTCCATAGAGATACTGCCTTGGAAACCCAAGGAGGGGTCACTATGAGTTGGTCCGACTCGATGGCACATAACAACAACAACAACAACTTCACTACGGAAGTAGATTGCCCAGTCTTCCTTCCCAGGAGTGGCTGGTGGTTTCGAACTGCCAGCCTTCTGGTTAGCAGTCAGATGCCTTAGGCATTGCTGCGAGGGTAATTGGAAGCAATTCAAAGGACAATACCCTTGTCCCCAAACTGCACTCCCCGCCTGACCACCGCTTCCCACTCCGCCCTCCCACTCCGCCCTCCGACCCCAGCCACACAAGCAGGATTCACATCTCCCCTCGGCCAGGAGGCCTGCGATAAATTACATGTGATCGGCCACATACAAAGGGCGCGCTGTTCTGTGCGGGGACTCGGCTGCTCGGGCCCTCTCTGCAGGGGCAGTCATGACGCCGAGTGCAACGGTGCCTGACATTTAATTCAGAAATTAAAAGTTGTTCCTCGGGTGGGGGCCCATGCTGTTGTAATGAGGGCGAGCCGTGGGGGGTTGACGGGGAGAAAGGGGGCTCTAAAGTCGCCCCAGTTCTAATAAGCATATACTGTGTCTAGAACAGATAATTAGAGCGCTTATCACATCTGTATGTAGACAGAGCAAAATATGGCAGGAGGTCTTGTCAAAACACGCCTCTCAAGTGCATGGCAAGGGCCCCGGGCAAGGGCCTGGCCCTGCCTTCAAACCCAAGGGTGCTGCTCTAACAGCCCCCCATGGCCCGGGTGGCCCCCAGGAGCCCTCGAGCACCCTGACTGCAGCCCCAGCAGGGAGAAGAGGGGTGATGGGCTGGTCCAAGGGGGAGGGCTGGCAGTCTCAGCCAGCATGTCTTCCTCCCAGACTCTGTGGCCAGGGAAGGGGACAGGGACTCTCCACCTCCCAGAGCCCTGTCCATCTGTCCAGCCATCTGTCTGCAGGGCTACCTGGTCCTTGAGGTGCGTCTCGGTGCAGTACTCCCACTGCTGGAACACATCCGCCAGCTTGTCCAGGCCACCGTGGTGGAAATGGAAGACTTTGTACTGGCTCTCCCGGCTAGCCACCACCAGCTGGCCGCTGGTGCAGGCCTCGTCACTGAGGGCCACAGGCACAGGGAGAGAGAGCACGCAATGAACATGGGCTTAGGGAGACAGCACACGGGGAACATGGGCACAGGGAGAGCACGGAGTGAACATGGGCACGGGGGGAGAACATGCAAGGAACATGGGCATGGGGAGACAGCACACGGTGAACACGGGTACAAGAGAGAGCACGGAGTGAACACAGGCACAGAGGGAGAACGTACAAGGAACATGGGCATGGGGAGACAGCACATGGGGAACATGGGCACAGGAGAGAGCATGCAGTGAACACGGGCACAGGGGGAGAACATGCAAGGAACATGGGCATGGGGAGACAGCACACGGGGAACATGGGTACAGGAGAGAGCATGCAGTGAACACGGGCACAGGGGGAGAACACGCAAGGAACATGGGCATGGGGAGACAGCACACGGCAAACATGGGCACAGGGGGAGAACACGCAACGAACACAGGAACAGGGGGAGACAGCACTCAGGGAACATGGGCATGGGGGGAGAGCATGCGGTGAACATGGGCACATTGGTTTATTTCCAAGTATGAGCAGAGGCTCATGGTCAGTGGAGGGAGGATGGGAGGCCTCAGGGAGGGGGGCTGCAGGCAGGAGGGGGGCAGAATGACTCAGAAACACATGCTGTCGCCCAGGTGCCGATGACCAAAGTACCCCCCCGGGGGGGACTGCAGCTGGGAAGGTACTCTCCACAGACCTGCCAAATGGCCCTCCCCACACCTGCCCCTTCTCTCTGGGAGACCCATGGTGGACGCTGGGTGCTGGCCAGTGTCCGGTGGGACTGGTGTAGAGCCCAGGAGATAAGGTGGGGCTCACAGTGGCTCTAAGAGGCCCTTCTGGAGCACACACTGGTCCGGGAGAACCTTCTGAGTTGTTTATTAAGCATGTGGCAGGGCTCGGGCCCTGGCCGACATGCCTGTGGCCCCCATGCTGCGTGTGGAGGAGGCGTTCCATGCAGCTGTCAGATGCTGCGTGTGGAGGAGGCAGCTGTCAGCAGGAAGCAGTGGCCATCAAGTCGGTTCCGACTCATGGAGACCCCACGTGGGTCAGGAAGAGCCCCTGGGGGTGCTGTTAACTGAAGGGCTGAAGCTCAAGTCCATCCAGAGGCGCCCCAGAAGGAAGGCCTGGCAGTCCCCTGGAAACTCACTCATGCAAACCCCCTGGAGCACAGCTGTGGCCTGACGCCCATGGGGCGGCCACCAGTCAGAGGAGACTCAATGGCAACCTGCTATTGAGCCACTGGGGGCCCAGTGGGAGAATCCTCGCCTTCCACACAGGAGGCCCAGGTTCAATTCCTGGCCACTGCCCCTTGTGGGAAGCCACCACCCGCCTGTCAGTGGAGCTTCCAGACAGACAGACCAGGAAGGCAGGCCTGGTGGTCCACTTCAAAAACCAGCCACTGAAACCCTATAGACCATGACCGCCCAGTCGGCACCAGTCATGGGGTAGCCAGGGCGGGCAGCGCTGCCCTCGGCTGTGCAGAGGTCACCGTGAGTCGGGCCGACTTGACAGCAGCTATGACAACAATGTGAGTCAACAGGATGGTCCCGTGACGAAGAAAGCGCCCTCACCACCCTGAAGGGAGATGGCCAGCCCAGCCCCTGTGACTGTGGGCACCAGAGGGTGGCAATGTTGTGTGGAGTGACAGTGTTGGGGGACCCCAGGCAGCGCCTTGCACCTACACCAGACACTCTGACGATGGGCCAGCTTCCTCCCAGGAGTGGCCAAGGGCCCTCACCTGAAGAAGAGGCGGAGGGAACGCATGTGCCCTAGGTCCACGCGGAAGACGCCGCACGTCTGCTCCAGTGCACAGCCCCGTTGTGGCTCCTCCCAGCGTGGTGGCGGCAGGAGCCCGTTGCTCTCGGAGAAACGCAGGCTGGTGTCCGTGCTGGACGGGGAGCTGGTGGGGCAGGTCATGGGCTGGTCACACATCTGTCTGTGCCAGCCACGGGGGGTGAGGGGGTGGGTAATGGAGCCCCAGAGAGGTTAATAACTTGCCGAAGATCACACAGCTCATAGGTGGCAGAAGTGGGATTGGGATCCAAGCTGATTGGCGCTGTGTCCTGTGCTCTCACTGGCACATTTTACTGCCTCTCGATCATCTGCACTGAGGTAATACAACCCCATCTGTTGTTTCTTTTCTTTCTTTCTTTTTAATTCATGGATTTGTTTAGACCCTTAATTGCAAAACATTTCATCACGTGGATTCAGCCACACCACCTCTTGAGACTTAACGGCATCTAATGAACACCCCGTAAAATACAAGTCAGCGGGTGGGCAAGTCTCCATCCCAGACCTGCCCCCAGCCTCCTACACAGGAGCCACTGCCAGCACCACGCCCCCGCTTAAACCCACACATAAGCGCGTCGGAATGATTAATCCAGGCAGCTCGTCTTCAGACGGGCTCCGGCCTCAGAAGGAGGCTACTTTGCATGGTCCGAGCTCAGCCCTCCCCACGTGGAAACAGTCTTTCTGGCATCTCTGCTTCCTCTAGAACGTACCAGGCCTGGCGTGTGGGGGGTGGCTGTTCCCCACCCCCAGCCCCATCTAGGAAGTAAGCACAGCCGGTGCTCCATTCCTCGGGGGCACCTGGGCTCCCCCAGCAGCATGCAGTCACCGTGGAGTCGACTCTGACCCGTGGCTCCCCGCAGGCCAGAGCAGGACTGTGCTTCAGAGGGTCTCAAGGGCTGATATGTGGGAAGCAGAGCAGGCCTTTCTTTTGGCTGTCTCTGGTGGACTCAAACCGCCAACCTTTCAGGGAGCAGTCGAAACCAGACAGCCAGCAAGGGCTGTGGGTGGATAGAGCAGGTGACTGCAGCCCATGGCCAATGTGGACCAGAGGGCTGAGGGACTGGCAGCGTTCTGGAGTGGACCCTGAGCGGACGGCACCAGGACGTTGTTGCTGGCAAAGCAGGGCGAGTGGCAGGTCTGAAGGCAGCCCCCCACCACGCCGCTGTCTAATCCGCTCACTGAGCAATGAGGCAGCCTCGTAGGGAAAAGCCTCGTAGACTCAGGGCTGGTCCATCCAACTTGCCTTCCAGCCGGCCAGGGAGGGCCAGCAAAGGGCGGTGTCATTGTCCACTTCCACCCCATCGTGCACAGCACGAGCTCTGCGCCCTACTGCACGCTTCATCCTGTCGCCCTGTAGGGAACCCCACCACAGACTGAGACTCCACCCCCAGCCGGGGAGGACTGGTGGCCAGGCAGGGCAGGAGCCAGGCAGGGGGGCCACCTATTTCCAGGCAGAACTCTCGCTGTTGTTGGGTGCCGCTGAGTCTGCAGCCGCCCAGGTGACAGTGCTGACCTCCCCCCGGGTTCCCTAGGCTGACCCTGCAGGATGGGCAGAGCCGCCTCAGAGGTTCCCAGCCTGGGATCTCGCCAGGAGCAGACTGCCAGGTCTTTCTTCTTCAGAGCCACTGGGTGGGTTCCCTGCAGTAGAGCGCTTAACCACTGCGCCACCAGGGCCATGCTTAACCCGTTTCCTTAGGGGCGGGTCATTTGCATGGATTACTTGATTCACTCATTCACTGCAGACACCATGTGGGGCCTTCAGCTGGGGCTCCACAGGTTCGAGGCTGAGCGCAGTGGATGGCAATGTCAGTTTTCCGTTTATGTGGGGTCCACGTCGTAGCAGATGCTGGAGTCCCTGGTGCTGCAAGTGGGCAAGTGCTCGGCTGCCCACCGAGAGGCTGGCAGTTCAAACCCACAGAGATGGGCCTTGGGAGGAAGGCCTGGCCGTCTGCTTCTGACAGATCAGCCACGAGAAGCCACAGGGCAAGCTTCCACAGTGGGCGTGAGGCAGGGACGACTCAGTGACAACCAGTTACAGCGACACCACCCCGCAGGGTTCCCGAGGACTCCATCTGCTTCCCTTCAGGTGCCATGGGGTTGGGGCTGGATTTTTTCCTTCTTCACCCTCAGTGCCCAGCACAGGCCTGGCATGGAGCACACAGTCATTTAAAACTCGTGGTTGGAAGGGAAACAAAAAGTGGGAATTTTTAAGTCATAGAAAAAGCCTTTCAAAAGAAAGACAATCTGAGGGAAATGTGAACTACGGACGGCTTTTATGTTTCACTGTCTTGTTACACATGCAGGGCACTTTGGTTTTAAGAATATTAATATGTGCTGAGGAGCTCTGGTGGCATAGTGCCTAAGGCATCTGACTGCTAACCAGAAGGCTGGCGGTTCAAATCCACCAGCCACTCCTCAGAAGGAAGACTGGGCAATCTACTTCTGTAGTGATGCCACCTCAGAAACCAAGGAGGGGTTGCTATGAGTTGGGGCCAACTCAACGGCACATAACAACACAACAACAGTACGTGCTGCATATAATTTGCTTTGTTCATAAAATTATTACGTGTGGTACATTAAAATCAAAAGGATGGTTTACTGGGGCAGTTATTTGTAACGAGTCAGAAAGTCAAACATGTTTTACAAATAGAAGTCAGACACTCAACTTTAAGAAAGGTAGGATTTCTCGGCTTTTGTCATTTTCTGATGATCTTCAAAATGCAAACACAGAAACAAAAGAGGAACTGGCGACCTCACAGCACAATGTAGGGCGGGATTCCCGCCACCCGGTAACCTGCAAAATGCCACACAGCATCACCGATTAAACGTGGCCTCAGTTCTCTGATCAGCCCATCAAGAGTGGGGCCATTAGCCCGGCCATCTTCTCAAAGGCAAACAGTGGGGCCTAACTAGTGAACACCATCTGCCTTGAGCACTGTGTTCTCTTCAGATCTGTTGATATGGGGCCAAAAGGAGTGCTGCTGGTGCAGTGGCTAAAGCACTCAGCTGACAACCAAAACGTCGGCGGCCAGTCTGTGGGAGAAAGATGAGGCTTCTGTAAAGACTGACAGCCTTGGAGAGCCTGTGGGGAAGTTCCACTCTGTCCTCTAGGGGCGCTGTGGGTCGGAATCCACTCCACGTGGTGGTCCCCCCACATATGGAATCAAACTGGCAACGGCATCTGAAAGGTTAGATGGGAAGCTTGGGAGCAGTGAGTTCATGTTCATGGGGAGGAAGAGCTCAGAACAGGGGCGAGATCGGCTGCACAACTCGAAGCAAGCCGTCAATGTCACTGAACTCACTGAACACAATGTCAATGAGCACAAAGAAACAGACGGGCTGCTGTGTGTCAGCTGCATACAGTGGGACAGCAGCTATTTTTGAAAAACGGTGAGTGAGATAAACTGCAGAAAAATGTCTTACGGTTTACAGTTTATGTAAATGACGGTTCTATTGTAAAAAAATTCAAAATACGTTTATCAAAACAACAAAAAAAGATTGTTGTAAAATCAACGAGTGCCACCTGAGACCCCACTCTTTGGGGCCCTGGCACTTGCTGTGACCAGAAGAATGTGGCCACAGTGTTGTTAGGTGCATCTGGAGGCAGGGCCTTCGGCAGTCTGGTGGCTCTGCCCTCTCCTCTGTCCTGGTGTCCTCCTGCCTGTGACAAGAGACACAGGGCAGGAGACCAGCTGACAGCCAGCATCAAGGCCCCAAACGTGCAAGTAGAGGCCATCAGACCCTCGGCCCCACGGAGCCGCCAGATGGCTGCAGCCGCCTGCATAAACCCAGGCGGGCCCAGCAGAACCAGTGCTCGCGGCAGAATTGTTGACTTCCATGCGGGAGACGCGGGTTCAATTCCCGGCCAGTGCCCCTCCTGCAGACACCACCTCTCTGTCCGTGGCGCGTTGCGTGGTGCTGGGATGCTGACCAGGTTCCCGTGGGGCTTCCAGACGAAGAAAGGGGGGGAGGAAGGCCTGGCAATCTACGTCCTAAAATCAGCCAGGGAAGCGCCCTGGGCCCTGACGGTCTGACCGGCAAGCGGTCACGCGGAAGGTGCAGGAGCCGGCAGCGTCTCCCCCTGCTGGGCGTGGGGACGCCCGCTCAGAGCTGCTAAACCTTGGGGTCCTGTTACTCAGCAGCAGAGAATGGACACATACAGGAAGCGCCTGCTTCCGGACAGCTGCAGGGAAGGAAGAGACCCGCACGCTGGCTGAATTACGGTTTTCAAGTCAGGAGCCGGGTGAGCATTTACAAAGACCCCAACCTCTAAGCTGGCTTCGCTTTCCCCATGTTGTGCCTTTCGAACTGTCTCAAGAAGCTGGTGGCCTCTGGGCTCTAGAAAGGAGAGAGGCTCTGTCAGGGTGACACTGTCCACGCAGGGGCCTGGAGTCCAGTCACGAGGACGGGAGCAGGCGCCCCCCAGTCCGGCCCCTCTCCCCTGGGCGTGCACCCACTACTTTCATGTCGAGCAAACACCTGATGTCTCTCCATCTTAACAGAAATGGCTGCTACTGAGTCAATTCCAACTCACGCCAACCTCGGGTACCACCCTCAGGCACCCCCCCAAGTACCCCCTCAGGTACACCCCCAGGTACACCCTCAGGCACCCCCCCAGATGCCCCCTCAGGCACACCCTCAGGTCCACTGTCAGGTACCCCCCCAGGTATCCCCCCAGGCACTCCCTCAGGTAGCCCCTGCTCCACTGTTTTCAATGGCTGTTTTTTGGGAAGTGAACTGCCAGCCCTTTCCTCTCAGCGCCTCTGGGTGGATTCGAACAGCCCACCTTGGGTTGGCAGCCGAGCGTGTGAAGCATTTGCCCCTTGTTGCTAGGTGCCATTGGGGTGATGCTGGCTCACAGTGGTCCCACGTGACAGAGCTGGGCCCGACAGGGTTTTCTAGGCTGTCATCTTTACCTCTTCACAGCCATCAGGTGGATTCACGCTGCCAGCCTTTTGGGGGACAGCTGAGTGCATAACCACCGTGTCAGCAGGGCTGCTTGTCCTCATCTTAACAGGCTCCAAACCAACCTCGTCACGGCAACACCCTCTGGTCTCCTGAATCCTGTGCTGTCTCTTGATTTTGGATAACAGGACCACCAGCACTCCA